CCAGGTTCGATTCCGGTCAAGGGCATGTACCTTGGTTGTGGGCACATCCCCAGTGGGGAGTGTGCAGGAGGCAGCTGATCGATGTTGCTCTCTCATCAATGTTTCTAACTCTCTATCCCTCTCCCTTCTTCTCTGCAAAAAATCAATAAAATATATTTAAAAAACAAAAAAAAACACACTCAAGTTTTCAAATTAAGTCCTGGTTAAAGGTAGCGTCTTTTTATTGATTGATTTGGGGGCGGGGGGGAGATAAACATCAGGGTTCAGGCTGTAACACCTTCACCCCCATCTCTCACCACAGCCTGGGTATGTGGCTGGACTCGCTTCCCCCACAAGTGCTACCATTCAGCCGTCATGCTGTGACGCTCTGAGTGCCTCCACAGTCGCCTTCTCACATTCAGCACCGCATGCCGTGTGCCCTCTATGGCTGTCACCTCCATAGCCCCCTCCGGTCAGACCTGTGCCTCTGGTCCAGGCGAGTGTGGGCTTCCCGGCGGTTTCTCTGCTCATCACCCTGCCAGGGCTATGCTCCTGCAGTGAAACTCTGGTGGCATTTCCCCTGGTGGGACATGGCACGTGCAGGGGTTGGGGGTTCCACCCCCAGGAGGAGGTGTGCAGGAGGTAGCCAATAGATGATTCTCTGTCGTCAATGTTTCTGGCACTTTCCCTCTCCCTTTTGCTCTCTGTAAAACCCACAGAAGAGACTTTTTAGAAAAGAAAAAGGAAGGAAACCCACGTGCAATCCCGCTGTGCTCCCGCAGTCCGTCAGCAGGTCCTCAGAAAAATGGGTGCTGGACCAGCTCCCTAGGGCCGCTGCAGCTTCCGCCCTGCCCATCTCGGGTCTCAGGGATACTGGCAGAATTTCCAGTCCTCATGCACTTTTATAGTGGTTGGAGGGGAATTCCCGAGTAGGCGGAGCCTATCAAATTAGCATAATCTTGGGGAGGGACACAGGGCTTTAAGGTATTTGCTTTTCTGGGTCCTTTAGCGTTTTCAGGGGTTTACACATGACATGGACCCATTTTTTGACTCATTGGAAGATGTACCTGCCTTAAGGAAAGCCAACATGTGTGGATTTGCCTGCTGTTCCCACAGACTGCTCAGTGAATAACGTTAAGACAATGGGAAATCTGAGGGGAAAACTCAAAGGTATGCCTATACAATCATCCAAGAGACAAACTAACTACACATATAAACAGAGCAAGGCGGAGCACCCACTGAGCCCTCCGATTGGCTCCAGGGGTCAGAGCAGGTTCATTCCGGGGGATCAGGCTGTCATCTAATTCCTTCTTCTCTAATCAAAGTGATGGAGCCAGAGTGGAGACTGTGAAGTTGTTCTTTGGGGCAGTAATCACAAAGCTAATGAAACGGAGTCCTTGCAGGGTGAAGGGTTGGGCCACGAGAACTCTGGAGGGTGGAGGGCGGTGCAGGTGATAAGAGCACAAGGTCATTCAGACATTCATTCCAGAAGAACTGATGGAAGCCTCGCTCAGACCCTGCTCCTCGGGACCCCACAGACACAGGACTAGTCCTGCCCTCGGTAGGGCTAAGCTGTTTGACTGCAGACAGATGGGTTTCTCTCGCTAGGCTTCCACTCTTCACCCTGTTCAGAAGGGTGCCCTCACCTTGGGCCTCAACCTCTTCAACTGGAGCTTCCCGTCTTCCTGTTACCTGACCCGAGTATGCAAATTAATTTCACCTCCCTCCACTCCAGTTTCCTCCTCCAGAAAATGGATTAATGTAACCTACAAGGTGACCCTGCTCCGACCACACAGGAAGCCCTCAAGGGGCTCTTGGCACCTGGGTCCCCCCCAAGGGAGGGGCCAAACCCCGCCCCTAACCCTCGAGGCGCCTGGCCCTGCCCTAGACGCGGCTAGACCTTACAGAAAGCAGCTGCTGGGCTTGCTCAGGACCATTCCGCTGGAGGCAGAGCAGGGAGAAGGTCTCATGTCCAAGCGCGAGCATATCCGAAGCCTCGCCCTCTTGGGGACAGCCGGGAGCCTGGCAGAAGGGGAAAGCGAGGTCAGAGGAGCTCCAAGGACTGTCCGCAGCCCACCAGGCCTAGGCCACCTTGTGAGCAGGTGGTGGCCCCGGGCCCGAAGGCGGGGGACCGCGCTGGTGCCTGAGAGCGTGGCCTGTGGTGCAGTGGTCCCTGCCCGCACAGGCCACCGGCCCCCATAGCCCTGGGCGTCCACATCTCCGGAAGGGGCCCGGGAACAGCGCCTGCGTTCTTCTTGCAGGGCCCACAGGCAGGCATGGCGGGGCCCTCAAACTCACCCAGGCTGGTGCCCCGGGTGGACTTCCTCTCCCCCAGCCCTCAACCAGATGGTGTCATTCCATCCCCCAAACCCACAAGCCTCCCAGAGAAGCTGGCCCTGGTCTGGATGCCCAGGATCCCACCTCCAGTCCCCAAGCCCTCACGGTGGGCCCATACTCACCGGTGGGAAACCGGGTTCTTGCATCCTGGATGCTGCTGGGCCCTGTGTGCTTGATGCTCTGGCAATCAGTCCTGCGAGTGTCACCTTAAATACCTTGTAGGCACTCGCCACCCACCGGTCCCAC